TGTATGGTATGTTCTTCGAAGACTGGTCTCAGTTAGTGCACTATATGGAACCAGACGTTATCGAACAGTTGTTTTTCCCTAGTCAGTGTTCACCTACTACCCCACCAAAGAATGAACACAGGTTCGTCGAACATACCTGAGAACTCTGAACTTTTATAGTTACTGGATCTGCATCCAATGATACAGCTACGATTTCAATCAAATTATGATATTGTGCAAAAATCATTTTATGTCATTAGTTTTGACTGTTTTACTCCCGACGTTTTGTTGTGGATGGTTTAATTTGTTCTGTACTAAAATAGATTTTATTGGTGCATTAAAAAATCTGATATATCTCATCGCTTTTATTAAGTAGCTCTTTAACCAGAAGTTAAGAGTATGTAGTTCATTTACCAGAAGGGTAAAGTTTAGAAAATTACTTCTTGTAATATTTTTCCTTCTCTAAACTTTCTATGAACCAACAGATCAATAGGCTTAGACAACATTTCTTTATTTTATGATATATGCCTGTTGGTTTCGACTTTAAAACGTTTGTTAAAAGTAAATCCTAGTTTGGATTTTAACTAAAAGAAGTCATTATTCATCATATACTGTCAACTGAAGTAGCACGAAGCATTGAACAGCTGGTTTGTCTTAATACATGTCATCAACAGTTTGTGATGAAAACTATCTTTGAACTATACAATTTCTTATAAACCACTCAAGTGGTAATCTCATGCTTACTAGTGTGACTAGAATTACTAAGGAGTACTTTCCGAGAGTTATAAGTTTTCAGATTAGAAGTAAGACAGTAACATATCTATGATATTGATCGAGAACAGATGCTATATAATAAATTGGTTCTAGCCTAAAATATGGATTACTGGATACTGACTAAATAATATCGTGCTAAAAGTAAAATAAGATGCTACCCAATGTCAAATGTACACGCTGATGAAGAGTTCACAATTAGGACGAAACTGCTGTTTAACTTTTTCCCTACTATCAATGGTCACTTGATCAGTTAGTTGTTGAAATTATGAAATTATACAGTCTATAAAATAGCTCAAACAAATAAACACTTTTATGTGTACACGATGATTATATAATGATATGATCATTTACTCTCAATAATCATATCATCTAGTATCCAACATTGTTAAGGTTCATGTGATTATTGTAATCAAAGATTGGAGACGTTTGATGACATCCATTCAGTATTTATCTTGAGATACCTAAACTTTTTATTTCGTGAATTCATTCTTTCTTCAAGAATTACATTATCTAAACCTGGTCTTTACTATCATTATTAACACTGTTACTACCTCTACAACTCCGAGATTTGTCTTGATGATTTGATTTTGTTATACCGATTTGGTGTAACATCTTGAACTGATGTATATAAGTGACATGTATTACGTTGTTTATGGCTGATCGATTAATATTTAACATTTGATCGCTTTTACGTAATACGATTGAAATGGATGCATCGAACAAAGTCAACAGTGAATAGCTTCATCTCTTTTGTTTTGAAACGTAAGAAAATCGATAACAAAATAAAATGTAACTTCGTGTAATGATCCCATTCTTCAGATTTTTTAGGTTTCAGTCAATCCATGATATGGTCTGAAGAAACCAATCAATCCTATTGGTATATGTCCTTTTTCACACTCTGGCTTAGTTTAAGCTCAAGACACACAGTTCTGCCCTAGAAATTCGAAAAATTTATCACTAACTAAGTAAACAATCAGTACTGTAATTTTTAAAAAAATTCTTGCCACATTGAATGACCAATAAATCATCTACTTATTGCAAAACAAAAAGTATAAAAACAGGTAGGGTGAACAAACTCAGCCTGTAGCTCTTCCAGGGTTACTGCCGGTCCCAAACCAGGGTAAAGGAGAGGGTTGGGCATGAGGTCGGCAACCCCATCCCGTAGAAAAAATCTTGCTAAAAAACGTAAATCACATTAAACGAATTAAACCATTTAAACTCTGCTCTGGGAGTTAGAGGGTCCTCATTTGGAACAGTTATGATGCCTCATGGTGAAAGTCGAGTTCCTTCAGAAGTCACGAGACCGAAGCCTCATCTAACAACCAGAGCAACAATTTTTATGGGTACATGGAACTTCCGGATAATGTGAGAGACCGGGAAGACCAGTCAAATAGCAAAGGAAATGAGGAGATACAAAGTGGCCGTACTCGGAATTAGCGAAACCCATTGGACCCAAGCTGAACAGTGAAGGTTAGGTACGGGAGAGATGCTGCTGTAGTCGTCACGAAAAGGAAAATGCTCCACACACTCAGGGAGTTTCTCTGATGCTGTTTAAAGAAGCATGAAATGAACTTATAGAATGGGAATATTATGGACCCAGGATCATCAAACCATCTTTCAAAACAAAGAACGAATGAATTACATTCAATATTATCTGTTATGCAGCCACCAATGATAGCAATGAAGACGATAAGGATCAGTTTTACGAGGGGCTACAATCGATGTTTAAGTGTAAACGCGAGAACTACAGAGGTGTCACACTACTGCCAGTACCAGGGAAAGTCTTTGACAGAGTGTTGCTGAACCGCATGAAAGACGCAGTAGATGCCCAATTTCGAGATAAACAAGCTGGATTCCGTAAGGATCGGTCGTACACAGCCCAAATTGCGACACTACGGATCATCGTCGAACAATCAATTGAATGGAACTCGTCACTGTACATCAACTTCAGTGACTGCAAGACGTTCGACAGTGTGGATGGGAGAACATTATGGAAAATTCTTCGACACTACGGAGTTCCTGAGATTGTCAACATTATCCGGAACTCATACGACGGACTACAGTGCAAGGTCGTGCATGGAGGACAGCTGCATTCCAAGTAAGGACCGGAGTCAGACAAGGCTGTCTACTCTCTCCCTTCCTCTTTCTTCTGGTGGTCGACTGGATTATGAAGACCTCGAAATCTGAGGCAAAACACGGAATACAATAGACAGCTCAGAATCAATTAGACGATTTGGACTTCGCAAATGACCTAGCCCTCCTATCCCATACACAAGAATAAATGCGGATGAAGATAACTAGTGTAGCAGCAGCCTTGGCATCAGTAGGCCTTAATATACACAAAGGAAAAAGCAAGATCCTAAAATACAACACGGAGAACAGCAATCCAGTTACACGTGATGGAGAAACTCTGGAAGATGTAGAGTCCTTCACATACTTGGGAAGCATCATCGGTGAACAGGGAGGATCGGATGAAGACGTAAAGTCGAGGATTGGCAAAGCAAGGACATCATTCCTACAGTTGAAGAACATATGGAACTCAAAACAACTTTCAACCAATATCAAAGTCAGAATCTTCAATACGAACGTCAAGGCAGTTCTACTGTACGGAGCTGAAACTTGGAGAACTACAAAAACCATCATCAAGAAGGTGCAAGTATTTATAAATAGTTGTCTACGCAAGATACTCAACATCCATTGGCCGGATACCATCAGCAACAGTCTACTATGAAAGAGAAAAAACGAGCTTCCAACTGAAGAGAAAATTAGGAAATGATGTTGGAAATGGATAGGGCATAACATTGAAAAAATCATCAGACTGCATCACGAGACAAACTGTAACTTAGAATCTTGAAGGGGAACGGAAAAGTGGAAGGTCGAATAACACACTGCACCGAGAATTGGAGGCAGATATGAAAAGGATGAATAGCTATTGGAAAGAACTGTCCAGGGTAGAGTTGAATGGGGAATGCTGGTGAGCAGCCTATAATCCACCACAAGGGTAACAGGCGTAGAGAAGTAAAGGTGAACAGCTAAAAAACAGAATAACCTTCATATGGGATGTAGTGATGTATTAAAACTGTAACTTATCTCCATTTATAGTCTAGAATTCAATATATACCATCCATGGTATCAGCGAATAGGAATTTTACAGTTTACTATCATGTTTCGTTCTTATAAATACCATACCATATTTAAGTTTTCTTACTGGAAAACGTCCATCAATTAGATAAAAATTATAACAAAGCAGTAAGGTTATTCATTCCCATCATATATATAGCGGATAGCCAAGTCTTAATCTCGTTATCAGATGGATAACCTACGCAATACATACCATAAAGTCATTTACCTATTATTTGATTGTAATTACTCACGTCTAGATTTATGCATGAATGCTCCATTTTACCAAAAATGAAAGCCTTATTCATTCGACAACGGTATTGTTGTTTGCTGTCAATCAGTTTTCAAGCTAGTACTTCCTAATCGGCTTCATAAACAATTTATCACTGGGTATACATGGACCGGAATTGTAGACTGAATTATCGGTTACGTGATTTGATGATAGGGAAAATTGGGAAGCCGTGATGTAGGCAGCTATTCACTATTCTTATTAATAATATTGATTTTACCTATTATATGTAGTTTCACAATCTACTTCGTTATCACTGACTTCCGAATTATCTCGATCGGTTTAATATTTTCACATACCCTTGTGTTCTTATATACCAGAGTAAAGGCTAATGACGATATAATTAAAAAACAATATAGTCCGCTTATGCGTTGTTCTAACTATCGACTTATCTATTTAAGTTAACAGAGGCCACATAAGAATAAACAATGCATAGATTCCAATGTGACTGACTTGCATTATATCGGTAACTAAACATGCGTTTCTGTGCTTCGCTTTGAGCTATGGTTTTGGTGTTAGGACAAGTGATACTACCAGGTTTCATAAACCATAATAGGTAAGGATGTGTGATTTGACCCTGAAACTCAATGAGTGAAGCCAGTCAAACCAGTTTCAGTACACTTAATATATAATTAATGAATACGCAGAATTATAAGCAGACTCTAATATTTGTTGTTAACTAACACCGAGATAACTTGAAAATTAAAATATGTATTTATCAACATTTTATAAGGTTAGCGCCTTAAATGGAACGGTGAACACCTAGCTAATAAATAAAATGCAAAGATCCATATATAGTGAAGAGGGTTTATTGAAATAAACAAGTACATATATACATTTAGATACGATCTACGCCTTCCACGATATTAATGCTGTTGCCACGGACAACGGCCATATCAATCTTGATCTGATTGCCATCTTTAGTGACTTCATACGCATCACTAACAACAATATTCATGAAAGCATCAAAACCACGCAGAATACCGACAACTTCACGATTTGCATTAAGCTTCACTATGAAAAGAAAAAAATTAGAAATTTTATTGTTAAAAATGTACCAATGTTTCTTGTTGGTGTGAACAATTTCTATGTTCTTGAAGTGGTAGAAACAGACTAAAGTTGTAAAATATTAGAGTTCTGAAATTCACAACGTGGAACAATATGCATATGAGTATAGCTAATATCTACAGGTCTGTCTGGATAAGTGCGATAATAGTTATGATGTTAATATTCTGATTTAATTTAACATACTATATAATCAGATAATCTTTTCAATATAATATCAAAATTTATAGTTCTAAAAGGTTGACGAGTAGCGTCGTTAATATAAGTTAAAAGAGCTTGATCTAATAGAATACATACTGAAAATGCATGAAAGCACTTAGGAGTTATATTCTCATATGACTTTTACAGCATAAAACAATATCTAAAACTGAATTTCATAAACAGTAGTTCCAAAAAGAATAGACAATAATTTTAGATGCTCACAATTTGTTGTGTTAGATGAATTAGAGGTTAACGAGTTTTGTTCCATGCAAGTTCACATTTAGGTTTCTTCTTACAATGTTTTTGTACGATCAGATGATAATAAAACATTGATGTCAGCCATTTCTCATACTCTGTATTTGGATATTTCTTGATTGTACTTACTGCCTCACTTAAGCGGTATCAAAATAATGATCAACATTTAAGAGTGTAGAAGGGACTATATTGTTAGTTTGCTTCTAAAATCTAGTAAAGTTGGGTTTGACTTAAATAAATAACAAGTGAGGGAGATTTTGCATTAAAGAAGTGATAGAGGCAAAGCGCATACGACTACACGATCACTCACTGTGTTCACATAACTGACCATTTATACTAAACGAATTAATTTTGTTTGCATACCCACAATCCGAATGAAGGGTTTACCGGTGGCAAACAAGCACTTGAGAATTTTCGGAAGTATGATGAAATTTAACTAAAATTTGGTTGGAATTTTTTACAAGTATTATTTGACGTGGTCAGTATAAAAATGTCAATTTGCGTGATTACTTGAAAAAAAACACTGTAGGATAATAACTATAACTGTCGGTGGTAACAATCACGGCAATCGTACGTGGGTAGATTCAATGTCCCATAACCTAATATCGTGAAGAGAAATGATGAATCAGGCTTGCAGACCGATTTGTATTTCGAGCACAAAATGGGTAGGGATGTTGATGCTCGGGTCTTATTTATAAAGTAATGATATGTTCATAGGTACCAATCCAATACAAATATTTTTCCATATTCAACGCCACACAACAAGCTGAATTCCAAGTCGATCCGCAGTCAGAAGACAATACCTAGTATGGAATTGATCGGATTGACATGCATAAGACATACATAAACAAACAGAACCAGTTTTTAAGGTGATATCATCAGCTTACAGATAGTTTCTACCATAAATTTAACGAATGTTTAGCTCTTATAATTAGTAATTTGGCACTAACACTTGTAAGAATTCAAAGAATGATAGATTATGGAGTTGAATATCTTGAAGTATATTCCACATACATGGAACGTGATTTGTTGAGGAAATACCGTTGTAAACTCAGCCATTTATAATCACACCAATGTTATGAAGACGCCAAAAGTGGTGAATATTGGTATAAGCCGTATAAAATGTGTTTAAGTATCTGCTGGATGAGTACATTATTAGTAGATCAATAATAAATGTTTGTAATCCAGTTTTTCAAGAACCTTATAGACCGAGGGTGAGAAAGTCCTACTCAATGCCTTCTCGAGGCAATGGTTTTGTTTACAAAGGTAGAAGGACGAAAATAGAGTGCCAGGTATTTTAACCAAATAGGTGGATACGAAAATGCACCTAGGGATGTGTGTGGAAAACCCTAGTTCCAAACCAATGGTGCACATAGGCTCTAGGCCCCTGGTGGAACAAATGGCCTATAAACCTCTTGTTAGCCACTGGCTACCATGGGACTGCAGCTCCTGACGTTGTTCCACAGCCTCACGGTATGGTTAACCGAGCGAAATTCCAACCCTAACACAAACTGAACGATGACTCCAATTTAAGAAAAACTAAACACGATTTAATTCACATTCTCGCAAATCCCATTCAAAACTAATTGTTAGTACTCTTTTCTAGTTTACATTGCGTCATTTGTCTACTCCTTTATTCCCATTTTGTATATTATTTTATCTTTCGACTTTTATAGAAGTTCGTCTATGGTAAAGATCCTGTTCTACCTAGACGATTTCAAGTTACGGACTAACCGTGCTTGTGAAACATGGACTGTTCGAGTTGAGGATGTTCGGTCATTATTGTCTCTAAATGATCGCTGACATCCAATCGGAATATGTTAGTAATGACGGGATTTGGAATCGTGCGTTAGGGTACAACGACGATAATGAAGTTGGTGTCACCACCCTGAAACATCACTTGTGGCTTGAATATCTTACGATTATCGCAGCAGGTGCCCCCAAATGCCCTGGTTCGGCCGAGAGTGGGGTGTGTCCGCCCTCCTTCTCGAAATGCTCTCATATGGCCACGCGTATATAGCCTCTGCCAGGGAAGTCCTACTCATTGCCTTCTTGTGGCGGGGGTGTTGTTCACGAAAATGAGAGGACGAAAAGAGAATGTCCGGCGCTTTAAACGGATCCCAAACCAATGGTGCACATGGGCTCAAGTATCCTGAGGGAACAAATGGCGTATGAACCAGTTGTTGGTCACCGGCTTCCATGGGACTATCTCCTCACGATGCTCCACTGCCTTGTGGGTCAGATCTTCAGGTCGAAGGCTCGAGGAGTTGCCCCCTAAAAAAACCACCTGCTTCGGTTTGGGCACCCGGGCAGTACCACAGCCCTCACACATATCGGATGAGATTTGTGTGGCGCATATGTATTTGGTGCCTCCTTGTACCAACATCTATGTGTTAAAATAAATAATCACAGCAAGTTTCATATTGTCCGAAAAAGTTAGAGGTTGTCAGTGTGTGACATGATGTCATGATATGAATAGAAAGCTGTATAGGACTTCTCTAACTGAACTTGTCATCCCATTATTATAATTGTCTCACTCGCATACACTAATTCCTATTCACTTTCGTCTTTTTCATTATGCTCACTCTCCTTTTTCTATCTCTTCACAAATTGATCTTTATTGTTATTTATTTATTTGAACACAAATATTGGTACAAAGAGGAACCGAATACATATACACAAGTCACTTGATTCATGTGTGGGCTATGATACTTTCCAGTTGTCCAGACCGAAGCAGGTGATATTCTTAGGGGGCCACACCAGGGGCTTCTGGCCTGATCCACAAGGCAGTGGAGCAACGTCAGGAGATTCAGTCCCATGATAACCAGTGACCAACGATTGAACCATACGCCTACTCATCCCTCAGGATCCTGGAGTCAGGGTTTTCCAACTCCCCTAGATGGATTCTCCATATTCACCGACCCAGCTAGAGCTCCGGAGTTTCGCTTTTCATCTCAATTTCGTAAACAATACCCCCGCCACGAGGTGACAGTGAGTAGGACTTCCCTTGAGAGCAATTAGAAAGGAAGGGCGGACTCTCCCTGCTCTCGGCTGTGCCAGGGGATTTGTAGTACATACATATTGCGGACGAATAACCACTTTTTATGCGAATTATATAGATATTGAGAAACACTGCAGTCAGACTTTTAGATGGTCTAGATTTGGACATTACAATGGAACGTTAAAGCGGTGGCTTAGCGATTAAAGGGTTCGACTCAGCCACTAAGTCTCATGTTTAAGCATCCTTCCATTTACTATGCTTTGTGCAACCGAATAGTATTATTGAACAGGAGTGTGGGTCATATTGAGTGATACCTAGCTACTAAGCAAACTAGTCACGTTTAAATTCACAACTAAACCAAAGCGTTTCACATAAGTAATGCCATAACAAAATTGAAGTTTCAAGAATAATGATACAAACAAACATGGAGAGGTAATTAAAAGGCAAACAAACAAAAAGAAGAGGGAGGCCGAAAAGAATAACGCTGGACAGTTGTGATAACAAAATTAGCGAATTTGAGCCACTCACAACCTTAAGTGATGTAGTTTCCCATTGTGACGTCCTGCAGTCTAGTCAAAGAGATTCGTCACTTTTTATTCTGGTCACAGAACGTCATTTGAAAAAATAAATAATTGCGTAACGTTTCAAACGGGCAGTAATACTATATGACTTTCCATAACAATGTAAAGCGAAGTCCTATTAATGGATGAACATTAGACTTAACAACTAGCCAATGCCTAATAATCATGGGTGAAAATTTTATTTTGCAGTGACCGAATTACTTATAGAACAAGTAGTGTAAGTGCCAACAGATGCAAAGAATTGTTGAGAAGCGAGGCAACCATTGTACCACAGTTTGACCTGTGAGTGTGATTTACATACATTTGAGCGACGATAAATAGACCTTGAGAATGCCCACATACATACTACGGCTAAATGAGGGTTATAAGTCTATGTAAAGAATTAGGATTAGTAGCTACAGTTGATAATCAGGGTTAGGAATTAGATTTATTGTTTTCATTACGAACTAACATCAGCTATAATACCAAAACACTAGCAAAATGAATTGACTTCGTGCCAAGATTTAAGACCTGTTATCGTATATCTGATTGGCTCGTTCGCAAATTAGTCTCACCACAAAAGTGGTCTGTTTTCACCAAGAGGCAAAGCTTAGTGAACGGGTAACTACGTTTGAACGGACAAAATGGTTGGAGTAGTTAGTGGCAATACAGACAGCCAACCCAGTAACAAACTGCGTAGCCATATTTATCTGGCAGTTCTGAAGTTTCTGAGCTTATGTGTATTACGTCGACACACATAATTTCTTGATTAATCTAAAACTTATACCATAGTAGTTATCAATATCAAAATCACATTTACATAACAGAAACAACTTACGTCTTAGACGCTTGTCAAGGTATCTAAAATGAGATGACCGTAAGTCAAAAACGAACTCGACCTACTTTTTCAACTCGGGTTGATGTGCTTTGCTCATCGTAGATCAGACAGACAGCACTCGGGGAAGAACCACTCGACGTGAAACGTGCAACGACAAAACCCAAACTACCCGGCAAACTCGGACATTCAAACTTAAATAAATGTTGCTGATTTATTTGTGAAATTATTTTTCTTTATCTTTAGAAAACAGTGAGATGGTTGCTTTGTGGCGGTAATGCTTACCATCAAAGTGAGTGTAATTTGAATTGTATTAACATGTTGGATTTGGCTTGTACTCATTTATCCTATGAATATCTCTACGTATACTTCACAACTTATTGAAATAGCCTATCACAACTATTAATACTACTATCTACGAATGGGTCGCTCTGTTTGAATAATCTTTGAAGACATTTTATATTGACTGTTAGCAGCATAATTTACAATGAACCCATAGATCTTTTGAAAGATTACTAGGTCAAACCAAATTACTCAATAAAATGAATCGTTTCTACTTTGAAGAACTGAAAAATAGACATCCAAATATTTACCGAAGTCAATGATCACTAGCACGTACTGATAAATGGAACCAGTTTTACCAGCATTCGATCGTCCATTTACTTTTTACCTATCCACTTTCATCATATCTGAATAAATAAATCATGTCGCGAAATTCTATTTCTTTAATAAGAAAGCAGTATTAACTAGCTATCTAGATGGGGTGATCCAGGCTAGATACTTACTACTTCGTTTAGTAGTCACACTTCAAAAGATCACGGACATACGGCTCTTGGCAACACTGTTGTTCGTCACCCCTTCTTCATAGAGGTCACCAAAGACAGACGAAACAAGAAACAAAAATAAGACGGTTTGAAGACATTTAGAAGATGCTCGATGCCTCATAAAGTGTTTAATCTAAGCTGACTAGTTGTTGAGAGATATATGCATCGCGTGGTGTGCGAAGCTATCATATAATGTATGACAACAACAGTACCAAAGGCTTTTTTTTCTATTTCCAATCAGACTTGTTTGAATCAGTATACTCACTAGAAACAGGCAGCTCTACTTACTAAACTGATCTGTTTCTTTACAGGCTTCAAGTAATATACTTCAGTATACCATAATTCTTTCGACTAAACTGAATTATACGACAACCAAGAATACTAAACTAAGCAAGTGTCATAATTATTGTTTCATTTGCACAGACATGTTGCTCAAACTAGTTAAATGGACATAATTCAGCCGATAAAACCAAAACACAAAATATAGGCCAGTCGAATTGACCTAACAGAAGACTGTAGCGGTAAATAAATCCCCTAAATAAATAGCTCTGTAAGTTTTCGACATTGGATGCTGACCAAATTAATTTTAATGAACTCACTTAGCTGAAGGCGCTCGGTCATGCACCCGCACCAGATCACGTGTGAGAACGCCGTGCTCAACATCTACTACAATCGCTAGCCAGACTAGATCAGATAATTCCGACATATTGACAATCGTCAAATACAACTTCTGATCTCCTCGATTCTGTCTTTTGATTTCTCTTGGTGAGTACGAGTTATATTAGAAGGTGTTACTGATAAAAGCATTGTCAAACACTGAATACCCGTGCCATCTTCAAGACAAAGGATATATATATTGCTTTCAGACTGAAGGCAACAGTCAGTTGTTCATAAAAACATAGTTTACAGTACAACAAACCTTTCTTCAGTAACATTATGCTCTGACGATCTATCTAGAAACAATCAACTATGTGATTAAACTCACTATGAATTGAGATATCATTCCAGCGTGCAATGAACGTACAGTGTAACGCAGTCCAACGTGGCGAATAAAAATTAAAAACAGCAAAATTAACAACATAATCTAGTTATTTAATTAAAAGTACTTTATGAATTGACAAAATTTGTGGTTGCTTGAACCCACAGATGACCATTATTACACTGTGCGATACATTAGGTTTACATGGTTGCGTTGCGGATAAATTCACCCGATTGTGACCTGGTGCACATGCTTGAACAAGAGCTTCCAGCTATTGGTGTGAAACTGATGAAATCGGTGTCAAGGACGAAGGCCAACAAAACTGATAAACAGGATTATTGTTTAATAAACGAAGACTCCATTCACATGTATAAGATATTTTCCAATGTACTAGACCATATTTCCATTTTCAGTAATCCTTAAAATCTCTATCATCCAGTAATCGATATGTCGGTTTGAATAGTAGCCGAAATTGTTTAGATCATTGGTTTTTATTTCTAGACACTTTATAACTGGAGAGAGTGAAGCACAGTGATGATAAAAAAAGAATTTTTCAGTGTCATTTGGATGAATTTTTATTCGTCCTGAAATGTAATGTTTGTAAATTTATTAAAATGCAGTTTAAAACAGTTAGTCACTTTGATAAATTTCGATAATGCACAATTCATGTAGAAGGTGGTGATGATCATCCTCGAATCCCTAATAATAGGTACTTCAAACTCTAATGTTAAAATATTATGTACGATCGCGAAGAAAAAGTATATTTCACATCTTTCGCTGAAATATTCAACTTCTCTAGTTGAATATTGAGTTGCTCTAAGCTTTTCTACTTAAATCTTAGGGGATAAACCATAGGCATGAATTTCCGCAAGCTTCTTTTTTCTCTTTGTTTAATTTTTCGGAATTAATGTGTCGTATGAATGGTAGTGAAATCGCATTCCTACGAAATCCTCAGAGGTATAACCGGACAATATAAACTCGGAGTACATATAAAGATGCTGTTTATTTTTATAGAGACATGTTAAAACCAACACATATGAACACCGTTTAGGCGGACTATTAGCCTTTGTTTACTCCTTGAGTAAATTTCGCAGTTAAGTGAACGTTACAAAAGGCAGAGTGTTTCAGTTAAAGCTCCTCGTCACAGCATAAAAAATATTTTTGTTGTTTTCGTCGAAACTTGTAGTGACTCACGTTTATCACGAGAACACGACTGGTTTAATAAAAACAATTATTATTATAACCAACTGTACCAGTGTTTGTTTTAACGTGCTTTTGTTTGACTGTGCTAATGACAGCTATTTTGTGCTTCCATTCTTATTCTTACACTTTGATTGTAACTTCGAGCGAATTCGGTTACCTTCTGTAACCAAGGTTGTATCCTGGCACGATCTCGGTATCCTTTCGATGCCACGAGATCGCCAGCTAATAAACCTCGACTTGGTCCATTAACTGTCTTCTGATATTTGGCTTCTCGGGGATTTTATGGATCTATTTGGTTACGTCCAACCCTCGCCTTCTGATTCGCTTGGCACGTGTTTCTTGGTAGCGGTGTTCACAGTTAATCTCGACTCGACGCCACGCTACAATTGGTAATCCCAATTCGAATACAATTGGTGACCCGTATTTTGGAACACGCCTCATCCTCTGATCAAATCTTCCAAGAAAGCCAATTCGGTGAGTCTATGATTTATCTATCCACGTCTGTCGTATATTTTCATACTTTTAATATATCATATACGCGACATGACGGATAACGATAAGAATAGTATTAATATAATAGACTCACACGTATGTGTACCGAATCCTTGTCACTTTTTATTCGCGTGATGATGAATTCCACGCTTTATTCGAGAAATGTTACCTTATTAACGATTCTCCTCGCTGACCCGGCTGCTTGGTACTGAATGCATACGCATTAGCATATCCGTCTACCACCCAGCACCAAATGGTTAAGTTGAACGGTTTCACTGCCAACTTAAAAGTGTTCTACGAGCACACGAAAACGGCAACTGGCACGAAACCTTACCGCTCGTTCTTTTAGGGGTGAGAACGAGCTTAAAGGCAGATATCCAATGTTCCGCCACTGAACTTGTATACGGCACGACATTGCGTCTGCCCGGAGAATTCTTCACACCACGGAGCAGACCTAATTTCGGTAAATCAGACTACGTCCATCGACTGTCTGCATTTATGCGAACGCTGTCTCCGGTGTCAACTCGAATACAACATCGACAGGTCGCTCTCTCTCGAGAGTTATCTACCTGTTCACATGTTTTTGTACGAGTAGATTCGGTACGCGAACCTTGGCAACAACCTTACGAAGGCCCTTTTCACGTGATCGCTCGTCACGAAAAGACCTTCAAAGTTGATCGATATGGACGCGTCGAGATCGTCAGCATTGATCGTCTCAAACCAGCACACGTCGATGACAGTGCCCTATCTGACACCCTGAGATTCAATGCTAGACCTATCAAACCTAGCGGGATCCTTAAATCTTCTTCAGGTCCCACGCTAGATGCATGTGAGACCTCATTCTCACGTCCCAGTCAACAGCACGCGTCATCTGCACCGTCTACGGACGAGACGACAGTCCCACGTCCAGATCAGCAGACCACGCCGCCTCTGACCTCGGATGAGATTGCAGGCTCACGAAATACGAACGAGACTGCCGTCTCACGTTCCGGTCGCCGAGTACGGTTACCCGTACGCTTCCGCGAATAGTCGCACAGTCAACAACCGATACGGTGTAGGATTATTCCTATACTACATGTATGCTACACTCTTCTTTTTCTGATTTTCTTTTTCTTTCCTGAGCCCACGCCTTCGACCATCTACGTTTGGTTCCGTCGACTTCAGTCAACTTTGGCGAAAGGTGGATTGGCCACCCACGCTCTTGTCAACGTACTCAGTCGATATATTGGTTTCGAATGCTTGGCATACGCTTGGTCTCGAACTTGGTCGTTATGGTCGCCTCTGGTCTTTTGGCTCAACGTGGTTTCGTCCTTCGTCTGCAGCGTTTATGGTCCGGACCCGTACGAACGCCCTCTTCAGATTCTGGATACAAACCACTCTGGTGTAGCATGCCAACTCGAGCAATAAATACAACACATCGCTCCTGGTACTGTTCTCCGAAAACGACCTTCGTTGGCAACTCGACGATCAACGATCGCTTTCCTGTTCGCCAATTCTTCCGTCCTACAATCGCTCGTCAGCCGATTAGTCCCACGAGTCAAACCGCTATTTATCGAAAATGTAAACCCTTTCTAGCGGGGGGCTCCTGTAGTGACTCACGTT